AACTGGGGCCATTACCCAGCTTAGGCTTGTGCTGGAAACTGAGTCCAGCGTCTCAAAACTTCCTTTCCCACGTCTTCTACCAAAAACCTCATGAAGCACCGGCTGGTTAACCCAGCTCCTTAAGCCGCCTTAGCGTTAACGCTACGAGAATTTCGCTACCGGCGGGCCGTCGATAAATCGTATCGACAGCCCGCGCTGCTTCAAAAAAGGTGCGGCCGGCGCGGCGCGCAGTGCCCAAGTACTGGTGGTTTAAAATTGTAGACTGCTGTAGGGCTCTATCTGGGGACGCTGGACCCATTTTCCAGCACAGGCGAAGCTGGGCAACGGCCCAGTCCCTGGGTTGGGAGGTGGAGGGAACAATACAGAGAGATAGCTCGGCCCTTTGTGGCTATGGTAGATTTTACTTATCTAGTTTTCTTTCTTTCTTCAAAATAGTAAGACTGTTGTTAGGAACATGGGACACTGGACCCGGTTTCCAGTGGGCCTCTCGGAGGCTTGGTTCCCCATTCCGGGTTGAGATGTGGAGGGATTCCCGGCCTCCTTTTGCATTGATTATATAAGAAAAATTGATAAAAAAAAATAAAAAAAAGAGAGACGCCGGGTGTTTCTCAGCCGTTTTTAGGCTGGAACAAGGTTTCATAGTAGTAGCATAGGGTATAGTGGGCTACAATGGCTGGTCCTTCTAGATAGGTATATCTTTTGAGCCAGAGGGTACTGGTGGTTTAAGCTACAGAGCTATCCACATCCTGAAAGTGCTGGAAACCGGGTCGAGCGTCCCACTGTACACCCTACAACACTCTATAACATTAAGTTACTGAAATATGCAAACCTGTTGAGCTGGAAACCGGGTCCAGCTTCCCAAGGTAATTCCAAACAGCAGACTGAAATTACAGCTCCTGAATACCCCAAATCCATCTGGGCAGGTTCTACTTTGCTCCGGGGTCTAAAAGTTTCACAAATGAGCTACTCTGTATTCTCTGTTCCAAAGGGGCTGATTCCATATCTTGAGTACAGTAAAAAACTCCTTCCTATTGAAGGATTTATCTTAAAGGGCACAACACTCAGTATATTCCATTCGATAGCAGTGTGTTACCTACAACTTTTGACATAGCCATGGTCCCAGCATTACCCTCTGGCGATGGTCTAGAGTGCAGAGCCTGTTGCTCAATGCCCAGGTTTGAGGAAACCAGATAGGGCCTTTCCTTTTTCTGTCCACGAGGATTGTATATCTAATGTGGTTTTTAACTTGGGTTTGCATTTGGCCTTTACCTGGGAGTTCTCCGCAGAACAGCGCTTTGTTCCTGGAATGCCAGATAGCATTCATGATGATGCCTCTGCAGGTCAGTCCTACGTATCCCCAACCCGATGCATAGTTGGATGTGCGGTGGCTTATACCTGTCTCAGGGCCTCGCCACACCACTCTCGAATCTCGAAAATATTCGAGAGCTGTCAGGATTTTTCGAGAGGCCGGTTTTCGAGAGAAAATGGCCCTTCGCCACATAGCACACTAGACCGGCCTCTGGAAATGGACGAACTCGAGCGCGGACGGGCGGCATCACAAAAAATGGCCTGACAACTCTCGAAATGGACGTCGAACTCGAGCGCGGAGGGGCGGTATCACGAAAACTCCAACGCTGCAGGCTGGGCGAAAACATCGTTTTGAGAGGGCACTCGAAAACGCCTTTCTGACAGCTCTCGAACAGTTTCAAGTTTTTTTTTCGAGAGATGCTGTGTGGCGGTGCCCGACTCATGAATTTTCGAGATTCGAGAGTGGTGTGGCGAGGCCCTCAATCCATTCATCAGACCATGGGAAGGCGTCGTCTGAAAATGCACGCCAATGCTTCCTCCACCATTGCCATATTCTGATCGAGAAAGGGCATTGGACCCACACGTGAGCAGTTGATTCCCAGGCCGCGGCCAGCGTTTTGTCGAGTTGGTTCGAGAGACTCTCGAACCCAGGCCTCTGTCCACTACTCACCACATGCACAAAAGACAAAAAATATGGCGGTGTATCTTTCCATGGTCTAGGAGAAAATTCCTTCTCATTTTGCACATTCCGTGAGTAGTGGAGCAAGCCCCTTGCACCGCCACACCGCACTCTCGAAAAACGCAGGTCTTTTCCGACACAGTGGAGAGCGCCCCCTTCGAGAGCGCAGTGCGGCGATGAGGGCTCTCGGACCGGTTTTCGCGATTTCCAGAGTTCGAGAGCGCTCTCGAACATTTTCCCGTTTTCGGGATAGGTGTGGCGAGGCCCTTATGCTGGGGGAATAATGGGTCTCGCTGCACTACTATCCACTCTCCGAAATCGGAGAGTTCGGCATCGCTGCACTAACTATCCGATTTCTCCCTTTGAAAATGTTCGGATAGCTGTCAGATACCACCGTTGAGAAGAACTATCCGCGCGCGGATAGTTCCCAGCCTGCAAAGAAGGTTTTCCGGATGGACCTCGGCGGGCCTCTCCAAAATGCTTCGAATTCGGAGAGTGTGCCTGGAGTCGGGGCCGACAAAATGCATATGACGCCAAGTAGTCCAGTGCTGTCGCCTCGTCTGCTAGTGTTCTCACGAATTGGAGTGTGGGACCACCGATAGTAAGTGCAGCGATGACCACCTATCCGCGAATTCGGAGAGTTCGGCAACTATCCGGCCACTCTCCCAATTTCTGGAGAGTGGAGAGTAGTGCAGCGAGACCCAATGTAGGACAGCCTTGAGATATCATCTTTGAACAGACCGTCTGAATCAGAGTCAGAGTCAGAGTTAGAGTTATTTTTACTCATCTGATTCTCGAGGGGTGTGGGCCTCGCTGCACTACTCTCGAAATGTGCAAAACGAGAGTGAATCTTCCCCTAGAATATGGAAAGATGCACCGCCATGATTTTTGTCTGTTGTGCATTTCGAGAGTAGTGCAGCGAGGCCCTGTATTTCAAAAGTTCATGGGTGTACCAAGAGTTCATGGGTGCACCAACTGAGCGTCTAGTTGGTATAGGTAGGACTTTTCCGATCTGTCTCGGGATGTAATGGCAGTCAGATACATAAAGGTAGTCTGTAAATGTAGTTGGATAGATCCAGGAAAGCCTACCATCGTGTGACAGATGGCCTCGCTCTACTGCTCACCCCATGCACAAAAGACAAAAAATATGGCCCTGTATCTTCCAGTGATCTAGCGGAAGATTCATTTTCATTTTGCACATTTGGTGAGTAGTGCAGCGAGTCCCAAAGGATGCTCCCATCCAGAATGGTTTCCACGCCAGAAATGAACCGACGCACTCAATGGTCATTGATCGTCGTCTAACGACGCCACGGCCATAGCCAATTGTGGTCCTACCTAAATTTTTTGGGCGGTCATTGCAGGTGGGATCCCGACTTATCTCGATCCTGCTTGACCTGTCATGTCTGTCCCATCCGGCTTTGATTGTCCCGTTCGGCTTTGATTCCATCTAGCTGCTCATCGCAGGCTGCGCATAGCTTGCTGCTCTTTTTCGCCACGTGGCACACATCTTGCTACTCTCTTTCGCCACGTGGCACACATCTTGCCACGTCTCTTATGAAACGTGGCACGTAGCTTGCTGCCGTCTTTTGACACGTGGCACATAGCTTGTTGCTCTCTCTTGAGACGTGGCACATACTTTGCTGCTCTCTTTCGACACGTGGCACATAGCTGCTGCTCTCTTTCGACACGTGGCACGTAGCTGGCTGTTATTTTCCGATACGTGGCACATATCTTGCACCTGTCTTTCGTCGCGTGCCATGTAGCTTGCTGCGCTCTTTCGACACGTGGCCCATAGCTTGTTGCTCTCTTTCGGACACGTGGCACATAGCTTGCTCCTCTTCGCTCGCCACGTGGCACATGACTTGCTCCTCTCTTCGTTCGCCACGTGGCACATAGCTTGCTGCTCTTTTTCGACACGTGGCACACAGCTGACTGTTATTTTCTGCTCTCTTTGGACATGTAGCGCATATCTTGCTGCTCTCTTTCGACTCGTGGCACTCACAGTGAATGCTCCTCCATCCCTTATTACAGTATCTATCTGGCCGCTGAAAGGGGTTTTTCACAGTGTAGTATTCGCGTACTGTCTTTTTCGCTCCAGCTTTACGTACTGGGTGACGTGGATTTCGAATACTTAGCGTGGATTGTGACCGTCTTCACCCAAATAGATCGCCCGGTTACGACCGCGGTACCTAGACCGAGAGTTGCCCTAAATACGGCTAAAAAGACCGTACGTTGTATTCGSGGGGGGKGGGGGKKGGGGGGGGGGGGGGGGGAGGACGGGAGGCGGTAATTAGTCACGCGCTTGAGTGCATATAGCAGAAAAAATGTACCCCTAGATGATGATGCCACCAGAGAGCAGGCTTCTTCCGTTCTGGTTTAGGGTTTAGGGTTTGTTCATCGGTCCGTCTGTGTTCCATCCAAGTGCTGGAGGCCACCCTCTTCCCCCGAACACAACGCACCCTTACAATGAATGTATACACGTTAAGTTTCCGGTCCGATGCAGTCACGATGAGAGCGGATTGTGTGGGCAAGAAGACGATAGTCCTTGCGGATGTTCGTTGAAAAATTGGATAGAGAGATAGGATTAGCGAAAAACGGAAAAAAAAAAAGACGAGTTATGCCCGAAGGGTGCGGATTGGTGTATATGCTAAAAACGGAAAAAAAAGATTAGTTATGCCCCGAAGGGTGCAGATTGGTGTATATGCTAAAAACGGAAAAAAAAGACGAGTTATGTCCCGAAGGGTGCAGATTGGTGTATATGCTTGTCGGAAATTGCTGCTTTTATGACTTATTAACAGTATTATATATATTATTAAATGCAAAAAAAGGCAACTGATGGGGAGGGGGCTAGGGTACACGGGAAGTAAAGCTTTTAGCTGCTGCCCCCCTGTTGGATAAGGAATTGTATCAGAGCATCTACCAAGGGGAGGCGGGGGGGGGGAGTGTGATTATTTTGAAAAAAAAGTGGTATGAATTGATTGATCGGCGTTAGTTGTCAGATCAGAAAGAACGGAGGGAGAGAGAGGAGAGAGGAGAGAGAGGAGAGAGGAGAGAGGAGAGAGAGGAGAGAGGTGTCTTCCAGCGGCGATGGAGTCTTCACCGTATGCGTGGGAGGAATTCGAGAGGGCGGCGTCGGGTATGGGGATGGGAGTTGTGGGAGGAGTGGATAGTGCTTCTGGGATGGGAGCGAGGCTTTTCTTTCTGCTAGGAGGAGGAGGAGGAGGAGGAGGAGGAGGAGGAGGAGAGGGAGGAGATGGAAGAGGAGGAGGCAGGGAAGGAGTAGAAACAGGGATGGAAGGAGTGGGAGGAGTAGGCGGAGGAGTAGGCGGAGGAGTAGGAGGATTGGCTGTTGTAGTAGGGGGATTGGCGGGAGAAGCGGGTGGGTACGGAATGGTGGATGAAGCGGGGGGGGGGTTGCCCCTGCGGCGAGCGGGGGCGCTTGGAGGCCACGTGGCTTCGTCGGATTATGCTGACATGGCAGCTGAGGATGAGGAAGATGGGTTTGTTGATGGAATGGCGGACGGTCATGGTGGCGACGGCCAAGGTGGGGGGGGTGGGGGTGTCATTGGGGGCGGGCGGACGAGCGGAGTTGGTAGGAGAAGTGGGGGAGCAGTCGCAGGAGTTGCGTTTGCGGAGGGAATGGAGGTGGATGCATCAGCAGCCGAGGGCGAGGGAGGGGAAGAGGGGGAGGAGGAGGCGAGAGGAGAGGAAGATGATGAAGGGGACGATGAGGATTATGAAGGAGAGGAGGATGGAGGGGATGGGGAGGAGTACGACGATGAGGAGGAGGAGTTTCGCCTCCAGTTTGACAAGAGCGTGGATCCGTTGTCCTTCGCCGATCACGACGACCCTGGGGAGTCGCTCGAGCAATTCAGCCGCATGCAGTATGAGGCTCTGGCGGAGCGCAAGCGGAAAGCCCGAGCGGCTGGTGGATATGGCGGCGGCGGCGGAAGAGGCGGGGTAGGAGGGGGAACAACTGGTACAGGCGTGGGGGGGAGCGGCAATCGCGGGCGGTATTCCGCCTCCGCCGGCGGCGGAACGGGTTTTACAGACGCCGGCGAGGAGAGCGGGATGATGTACGGCAGCTGCGGAGGAGGAGCCGGGCATGGTGGTGGTCCCGCGCCGCCGCCGTGGCTGGCGGCCGCCGCCGCCGGGGTGGGAGGGGATATTGCCGCGGAGTGTTTTGACTCTTACGCTAGAGGCGGTGGCGGCGGCGGCCGACAGGGCAAGAAGGGCATGAAGAGGAGGGGGAGGAAGAAAGGCCCCGCGGCGAAGCGCGTCTCCGGTCTCCCTGCCTTGCCGCCCGACGTGACACGTAAGCTTGGAGAAGCTAATCTCGCCTACGCGACGGGGAAGTACCGTGATGCTATCAATTTGCTTGTGAGTGTCGTCCGCACCGCTCCTAATGTGCCCGACTCTTATCATACCTTAGCCCTGGTGTACGAGGCTATGGGGGACAAGAAGAAGGCGCTCAACTTCTCCATGATTGCCGCCCACTTGACCCCTAAGGACGCGGCTTTGTGGAAGCGATTGTCGGCTTGGTCGATCGAACAAGGTAATTTGTCCCAAGCTATCTACTGTCTGACGAAGGCCATTCGGAGCGACGCGAACGATATCGATGCAAGATGGGATCGCGCTTTGCTCTACGCGGAAATCCAAGATTATCGGCGCGCAGCGGAGTCGTTTGAGCAAATGCACTCCATGCGCCCGTCCGACTGCGAGATCGTCAAGATGCTTGCGCGCATGTATCACAAGCTGGGTCAGCCTCAAAAGGCCGTGACCGTCTTGGAGGGCTTGATGACTAATTACCCGACGGAGATCGATCTGACGGCCGTCAACATTTTGGCGGAGCTGCACATGGAGTGCGGTGCTTTCACTGCCACGGTGGACCTCATGAAGCGCGCAAGGGCCTTCTGCCCCGACAACACCCTCCCCCTAGACCTGAGCGTCAAGGAGGGGATCTGCCATGCCTACCTGGGGAACACCCACGAGGCCGAGCGGCTGTTCGAGGACCTCAGGGGAGAAGGAGGTGTGGAAGAGTATCCCGACCTGTTCATGGATGTTGCCGACATGTACTGGGAAGTGAACAGCCCCGAAACGGCTCTTAGGTATTACAAGATCCTGCAGACTTGTGCGGCATACGATCAGCCGGCGCTGTGGTTGAAGATGGCCCGGTGTCATGAGGCGAGTAACGACAAGGAGGCGGCAATCAACATGTATCAGTACGTGATCTCGGAGCAACCGGACAACGTGCAGGCACGTGTCAGCATGGCAGAGCTCCTTAGAGACGTCGGCAGGGTAGATCAGGCTTTGCTCGTCCTGATGGCTCCTTCTCCCCCTCCCTCCCCGCGTGCTTCTTGCCAAGATCAGGACAAGGACCACCCCCCCCACCCTCGCAAGCAAGCTGGCGATGGAAGGGGAGGAGGAGGAGGAGGAGGAGATTACGAACGGAGTCGTCGTCGACCTACTCGCCTTGGAGCTGATGACGTTGCGGCTATGGCGGCGGGGGGCAATAGGAGGGGTGGTGGAAGGTACCTCGGGAATGCCGGCGATGGCTATCCCGAAGCCGAAGAAGAAGAAGGAGAACAAGGTGAAGAAGAAGGAGAAGAAGAAGAAGAAGAAGAAGAGGGAGACAATGGTCAGGGCGGTCAAAAGGGTGATGCCGAAGGGGCTAGTACCAGGAAGGATGGTGGTGGTGGTGATGGTGGGAGAGGTTTGACGAAGAAGTGGCGATGGTGGACGGATACGAAGGTGGTGACACTGCGCGCCAGCTTGCTCTACTCGATGAACAAGTACGAGTTGTTCCTGGAGGGATGCTTGCCGTTGATTCAGAAGACGATCCAGATCGAGCGAGCCAATCTGAGGCTGAGAAAGATGAGCTCTTTCAACGCGAACGTCGGTCGATCGGAGAAGAGAAATCTTGAGAGATCAAGGAACGTTCAGGAGGAGCAAGAGACTCATGGCCAAACCAGGAGTTTGTTTCGCGGGTATGAAGGGCGGCACACAGCCAACGCGAGGAAGAGGGAAGCGAGGCAGAAGAAGACGGCGGCCATGAGGGCAGCAGCGCAGCAGCCGGCAGTTGGCAGCAGCAGCAGCCCCCACGTGACCGCAGCAGCAGCAGCTGCTGCTGCCGCTGTCGCTACAGCCGCTGAAGCAGCGGCATTAGCAGCAGACAGAGGAGCAAGGGGCGATGGGAGAGGTGGTTGGGTGGAGAGAGAGCACCGTGGCAACCTGTCGAGGGAAGAGAACAGGAAGAAGAAGAGCCACAAGCGGCGGTTCGGCAGCAGCAGCAGCAGGAGCTTACGTGACCGCCAAGGGCGTAGAGGCGGCGGCCATCATGATCATGATGATGATGATGACGATGATGATGATGATGATGATGGGCAAAGAAGAGGGATCATGATGGGGGGCGGTGAACATGGCAGCAGGTTGGAAGCGGCGGGGGATTCAGATAGTGAGGAGGATGACCGGCGGCAGATGGAAGAGCAGGAAGGGGAGCTGCTGCTGGAAGATCGGCCAAGTGGCAGCAGCAGCGAGGATAGCGGGGAGTTTGTCGATCTGCCTAGGCATGTTGATGAGAAGACGGCCCCTTTGCCGGGTCTGCTGAAGGAGGAAGAACCGTACAGACTGCTTGTGCAAACAATCAAGGTGTTAATGGCGTTTCGTAGGTACAAAGAGGCCGCAGAGATGGTCCATCATGCCCTCTATGTAGGCAGACATTTGCCCAGGGAGCACAGGAATCAGCTCAAGCTGATGGCGGTCGGCATCGCCTACAATAGCGACGAAGGTCGATACGGCGACGAGAGCATTCGCTACGTCATCTGGCAGAGACCCTACAACAACAGCATCTGGAACCTGTATAACCGAATTTCCACCAGGGGCCAATGCCAAAGAGAGAAGAACCAAAAATTCATGCTCAGAGTCAGAGCCAAGTGGACCGACTGTGTGCCCGCGATGATCGTCTCCGCGCATCAACTTGCGCTCAAGGGGTTGTATCAAGGAGCCCTGAGGGAGTACCTGCGCGCATACAGAGCGATGCCAGACGAGCCCTTTATCAGCCTGTGCCTGGGGGTGGCCTTCCTCCACCTGGCTGTGGGTTCCAGGGTGGCCAATCGCAACCTGTGCATTCTGCAAGCCTTCGCCTTTCTGTACAAATACCAGGGTCTGACGAACAAAAGCCAAGAGTCAAACTACAACATTGCGCGCGCGTACCATCACGTCGGCCTGGTTCATCTAGCGGTGCCGTACTACGAGAGAGTACTGGGCCAGGAGGTGGAAGTGGAATGGCAGGCGCCCGCGAGGGAGGAAGAGAGCCTGGTCACCAAGATCTCGAGGGCGTGGCTCAGTGGCAACGACCGCGGGATGCAAATAACCAAAGAGTCGTGCGACCTCAAAAAAGAGGCAGCCCATAACTTGGCCTTGATATACCGAAAGAGCGGCTCCGACGTCTTGGCGAAGTCTATTCTTCGCAGATACGCAAGCATCTAAAAGTTGATCTAACCTTGATTGTCTTTCTTTGTGACCCTCTCACACACTCTTTTACCTTCCCTACAGCAAGTTTTTTTTTTTTTTTTTTTTTTTTTTTCTGCAATGCTGTCCTTCATCCTCTGTTCTTCTCTAGCACAGACATCTTCGCAAAGGCAATCTTGCAAAGTTCATTTTTTTAATTTTTTACAGATTCGCACGCATTTTACGCTGAGGCTGCTGCCCTTTCTTAATGCTCTGCTAGGTCCGCTCCGCTCCTCTCCGCTCTAGCAGACATCGTTGCGCACAGTCCCTTCTTTGTCTCTCACACACTCTTTTACCTTCCCTGCAACAAGTTTTTTTTTTTTTTTTTTTTTCAATGCTGTCCCTCATCCTCTGTTCTGCTCTAGCACAGACGTCTTCGCAAAGGCAATCTTGCGAAGTTAATTTTTTCACAGATTCACACACATTTTACGCTGCCGCTGCCCTTTTCTTAATGCTCTGCTAGGTCCTCTCCGCCCTAGCAGACATCGTCGTGCGCAGTCCCTTCTTTGTCTCTTGCAGAATGCAAGCGTATGAACTTGATCTTGTCTTACATCACACTGATTTCCTGTTTACAGGAGCTTTTTTTTTTTTTTTTTTTTGGCTCTTCTCCAGCTGACTAATTGTAATTGTAATGCTCTGCCCAAGGCAGACACATAACCTCACAGGCTCACACTGATTTTTTATGATCTTGTCAGACATTTGGAAAAAGTCTGTTCTTTGCAAAATTCACAAGCATCTGAAATCTGTCGTCGTTGATCTCATCACACACTGATTTCCTTTTTCTACAGCCTTTATGCGGTCTGTTCGTTCGAAATCATCTCCCCATTTCTGCTGTGCTCTTGCAGATCTCTTCGATATTTCACATACACCACACAAGCATATAAACTGGATTGTAGTTTACCTCACACTGCTCTTCCTTTCTACAGCATTCTTTGCTGTTTCTAGTGCTCTGCTCTGGTCAGTTTTAGCTCATGTGTACGTTCCTCTACTAGGGTTGAATCAACTTGCATATTGCACATACTAATAATGACTAGAGTCTCCATCAGAGAAAGCGGTACTTAACCAATCGGCTTGCCTACAAACAAGCGTGAATGGCGAACCCGGTGGCCTTTGATCTGATACATAGCAGTAGTGTCTGATCTATTGTCTGATCTATTGTCTGATCTATTGTCTGATCTCTTGTCTGAGTCTGATCTATTGTCTGATCTCTTGTCTGAGTCTGATGTATTGTCTGATATATTGTCTAATCTATTGTCTGATCTATTGTCTAATATATTGTCTGAGTCTGATCTATTGTCTGATCTGTTGTCTGATCTGTTGTCTGATCTATTTTGTGATCTATTGTCTTATCTATTGTCTGAGTCTGATCTATTGTCTGATCTGTTTTCTGATCTATTGTCTGATCTATATTCTGATCTATTTTCTGATCTATTGTCCGATCTATTGTCCGATCTATTGTCTGATATTAGCTATCCTCGATTTATGCGATTTACCTGATTCCGTCTGTGGAGGAGAGAACTTGAAGGCTGTATAGGAAAGGAGGTCGCGATAGCATCAATCTTTTTTTTCTTCCTTTTTCTTAAATAGGAAAGGAGGTTGCTATAGCATAGATCATTGTATATATTAGACAAAGTTTCAGAACTGTGCACTTGGGACTTTAGTAGAAGCCCAGGCTAGGCCAGGCTAGGCTAGGTTAGGTTAGGCAAGGTTAGGCTAGGCTAGGCTAGGCTAGGCTAGGCTGTGGTGTTGTGCTGATCACGAGTGTAAGTTTTTTTTTCATTTGTTCCTAGGTTTTGAAGTACGGGCCTGGGCCCCGCCACAAGGTGGTCAGATACATCTGGGGGGATCGTAATGAATGTGTCTTGCCACCTTCTATTTGAAGGTGCATTCGCCTGTTTCCCCTTTTGCCACACTATGCACAAGATCTGTTCGATCTGGTCCTGTGGACCACAGGACTTATACCAGCTGGTGTAGAATTGAGTCCTGTGGTCCAGCCTGAATGTATCTTGCCACCTTCTATGTGAAGGTGCATTCGCCTGTTTCCCCTTTCGCTGGTGTAGAATTATGACATCAGGCTGGACCACAGGACTTGTATCATTGGGGTCTACAGTCTTCCCCCGAATACAACGTGCGGTCATTATGGATGAATTTAGACTGAAAGATACGCCAAATTCAGATATAATGACCGTGCGTTGTATTCGGGGGAAGACTGTAGTAGACTAGTGATACCCCATAACCCCCCCCCCCCCCCCATTACATCACATCAGTGAGGGTCTGTTTGATCTGGGCCAGACTACCTTCTTCTCCCGAACATAACGCATATTTTTGAATTTGGAAAAAAAAACAAAACAAATAAACCGCATATGTGTTGTATTCGAAATTTAGGGCTATTCGAATAGAACGCATCCTATGCGTTGTATTCGTTTACAACACATATGCGTTATGTTCGGGGGAAGAAGTTAATAGAACTTCACCAAACTAGCGGTAGCAGAACCGAACAAGAGCCACTCTTGGCGCCGGACAAAACATGCATATCACGAGGGTGGCGCGGGTCTGGTCCTTGGCGTCTACAACACCCTGGGCTTTATTAAAAAAAGAGGGGGGGGGTGGGGAGGAAATCACGAGGGCGGCGCAAAGTCTAATCGTGGGCGAGATCACATGACTGCCTCTCATAAAAAAAAACAACCCATCTGATCCGACCAAGCCACAGAGCATCAGATTATGAATACGGATTGTTTGCTGGATGGGACTTGAATCTTTCCTACTCACAAAGGCCCCTGATTTGTAACCTTTCTCATTTACCATCAGGAGGGCCTTTGTGAGAAGGAAAGCTTTCCTGCGCTTTCCTGCTCACAAAGGCCTTTCTTTCTTTTTTTTCTTTTTTTTTCTTTTTTTAAAATTTACACCCTTTCTTATTTACTGAAAGGCCTGCCAGGATTCAGACCCCGAATTCGGATCTCAGGGTCAGATGGCCAGGTCAAAAAAAGGCCGAGTTGGTCAAACTGAGAAAAGTCACAATCGGGTACCTCAGCAGTGCAGTCCAACAGGCACCCACCCAGCAAACAGTCACGTCTGAGGGACAAGAGTCACGTCTAATAATAAAAAGCGATTCATTCAGAAGAGTCACATCCCAAGAGTGAAAAGGCAGATTCACCAAGCAAAGGTCAGGTCTTAAAGGCAGGAGTCACGTTTCCTACCGTCTTCCCCCGAACATAATGCACCCTCATTTTGGCTGTCTGTGGCCGGAAATATAGCTTGTATACATTCATTTTTGGGGTGCGTTATGTTCGGGGGAAGACGGTAGTGAAAAGTCACATTGAAGAGTCACATCGCACGAGTAAAAGGGCAGTACCACAGGTAAGAGTCGTGACACAGAGGCAGGAGTCACTGTCCACAGTCAAAAGTCATGTTCACAAGTGAAAAGTCATGACTTTTGACTTGTGAACATGACTTTTCACTTGTGAACATGACTTTTGAAGAGAAAACAGTCAAAAGTCATGTTCACAGTCAAAAGTCGTGTCATGTTCACAGTGGAAAGGCTGTCCACAGTCAAAAGTCATGTTCACAAGTGAAAAGTCATGACTCAAGGGCCCAAGCAGCAGCAGTCCAATGAAAATTCGGGAAGGTTCCAGTCCTTGACATTCAGAAGCAGAGAGGCCGTGGGGATGTGGTACCGGAACCAGTCGGGACGCAAGAAACAGAGGATGGCACGAGTTGAAGTGCAAACCAAGACTACAAAAGGACTGGTCAGCCTCGCATTCGGGCAGATTGCTCATTGACAAAGAGTGCGGAAGTGCTGGTGCACTTGTGCACTAATGTGAGGGGCAGAGCGCTGAAGCCAGAGTGCTGCGCGAAGGAAGAGGGAGAGAACTAGAGGAAGACATCACTGGCAGGGAGAAGGCAGCCATAGCTGCGCCAGTGCAGGGTGTTAGTGTTAGTATCTAGTAGTAGTCTTCAGAGAGTTAGTAGAGTTATCAGTGGGTGTGTCATTCAGAGTAGATCCATGAAGTAGTAGATAGTGAGAGCGTGAATGCGTGTACGGAGAGAAGACACAGCGAGGTCATAGCTATCGGCAGGGAGACGACGAGCAAGGTGGAGAGAAGCATAAGAGGGAAGAGCAGAAGGGAAGAGATACTTACCTGAGAGTTTATGCTGATTATTGGTTACCTATTGGCACGCGCTGATGAGCGCTGGTGACTGGGAACTCTTGTTACTCTTGTAATACTTTCTGGAAAAGATAAGCTGCACTACCTGGTCTTCATCTCTCTGGTCTCCAGTGTGAATTTTGTGTGAACTCGTACATGCATGTGGTGTGAAATTGTGAATATGTGCACTCATTGGTGTTGAACTAGGAGGTTCATTGCATTACAGTGCATCCAATTATGATTCAGCAGTGGAGGTGATCAAATTACGCAGATGGACAGGAACAGGGATGAAAACAAGTAAATGAAGAAAAGGAGGCGGAACAAATGCATGAATGAAAGAATGTATGCATGCATGCATGCATGAACGAATGCATGCATGCATGAATGAATGCATGAATGAATGAATGAGTGAAGGAATGAATGAACGAGTGAATTGACCAGTGAAAGAGTGAATTCATGAACGAATGTAGACGGATGATTGCTTATTATGCATGAATGAATGAATTGGTGAATGGACAAATGATTGAATGCAGGACCTGTCTCTTATACACATCTAGATGTGTATAAGAGACAGGATGGACAGGAACAGGGATGAAAACAAGTAAATGAAGAAAAGGAGGCGGAACAAATGCATGAATGAAAGAATGTATGCATGCATGCATGCATGAACGAATGCATGCATGCATGAATGAATGCATGAATGAATGAATGAGTGAAGGAATGAATGAACGAGTGAATTGACCAGTGAAAGAGTGAATTCATGAACGAATGTAGACGGATGATTGCTTATTATGCATGAATGAATGAATTGGTGAATGGACAAATGATTGAATGCAGGACTGGACGATGAATGAATGA